CATTTTATGAATACCTAAAAATGTTTTAAAACTTGACAATGAGATCTTTTCTTGATGGGTTATCAGAATAGTGTCCAATAATGACAAATGACAAATCTGAAATTGACAAGTTTTTTAATGTGGATGGTTTGCAGAAAAACTCATCCTCTTCTGCCCTTTAACAGGAGACAGCAATCCCCGGTGTACCATCAGCAGTAAAAGGAAGAGAAGAGAACCAGAGTGAGTCAGAATCCACTCCTAAAAAAAAGGAAAATCTGAACTGGATGAGCCAAGCAGGACCTTCTCAGGAGACATAAGGCATAGAAAGAGCATTCAATATTGCCATGCAAAATGTATGAAAATAAGGTGTTATTAACGTTGCTTCAATAAATTAGAAAATTTAGCTTTCTAATATTAATAGCGGTTCATGGTTTTGTCTAGTATGGAGATTCTTTCCAGCATCTATATCTACCCTTTCAGCAGTTGTACTGGGAATACAAAAACTAAACTTTTGCTTTATCAAGTGATAGTTTGCCCAACCTTGAATTTTATTGATAAGTTGAGAGAGCCGGAGCACAAAGTGGGAGTGGGTACATTATACAATCGTGAAGAAATAAAATACACAGAATGTGGATGTGTGTGTTAGCAATAGCTGCTATAAACCTCCTGAGTGGAAACCCCTTATACCACTCTAAAAAATACTAGGCAAATACATACAGTAGGTAGAACACACATCTGATGGTTTGAGCGCACGGAGGCTCCGGTGGCCGAACAATCTGCACAGTGCACGCGCAGATCCGGATACAACCTGTTCTCACCAGCCGCCTTCTTTCTTCCTTAGTCGCTGCACCTGAGGATGACTTTGCCCCCAAGCTTCTAAAACACCACGATATAATTATTATTATTTTTTTACACCTTTAACAAATAGGGAAGGATGGGCGGGGTCCGTAGAGCTTCTCCCGTCCTGTCACGAACAGCTGGCAGTGAATCCCTTACTCACCTCCGTTTATTCTTACCTGGCTTCCTGCTCTTTTGCTGGCTTGCTGCCAGCAGCCAATCCTCAGTCAGCTCCTGTCCCCAGCAACAGCTGTGTCACTAAAACTGCCCAATCACTGATCTTGGGATCATGAACTTTATCTCAACTTCTTTTAACCTTGACTGGACTTCATTAACCCTCTATTGCCACCCAACATATATGCCACAGTGCTTAGTGCCTGTGGCATCTTTTTCCACTTCTTATTTTATTCTCATTTATTATATTGATTATTTGTACAATATGTAATGATAAATAGTACCATATATATTCGTGTATAAGTCGATCTCATGTATAAGTCGAGTGCAGTTTTGTGACCAACAATTGTGAAAAATGCTATGCCTCGTGGATAAGTCGAGGGTAAAACTTGGGGCTATGAAATTCTGTGATTTTTATAATTATATACACACACACTCATACAAACACACACTCTCTATTATATATACACACACTCATACAAACACACACTCTGCATTATATACACACACACACACTCATACAAACACACACTCTGCATTATATACACACACACTCATAATGCAGAGTGTGTATATAATGCAGAGTGTGTGTTTGTGTAGTGTGTGTGAACTGGGTGGGGGGAGGGCATTTTTATTATTTTAATTTTTTTATTTTAATATTATTTTTTTTTAATTATTTTAATTTTTTTTATTTTAATATTATTATTTTTTTATTATTTTAATTTTTTTTTGTCCCCCCTCCCTGCTTGTTAACTGGTCAGGGATGGGGGCTATCTTAATCCCTGGAGGTCCAGTGGCATGGTCTGTGAAGTGGGGGGGCCAGCAGAAAGCATTTACTTACCTTTCCTGCAGCTCCTGTCACCTCCCTTCTCCTCCGTTCTGGTCAGCTCCACTGTAAGTCTCGCGTTCTGGTTGCCGCGCGGATCGTTGCCATGGCTCTGACGGCCGCGGCTCTCTAAGTTGCCATAATCAGAGTCAGACAGTGACTCGAGTATAAGTCGAGTGGGGGTTTTTAAGCACAAAAAATGTGCTGAAAAACTAGACTTATACTCGAGTATATACTGTATGTAATGTCAGTTATTAAACTTTTTAATGATAGTAAAGTTCTGGTGACTTAACATTAGGGAGTCTAGTAGACCATGATTTAAAAGGTCATGCATAGCTATTATATGTGCTATGTAATACATAGTTAGGAATGACATTCACTCATTTATTTCTATTAATTGTCTTTCAGGAGAATATACAGAACATACAACTTCTCCCATTCACCTAAATTTCAAAAATGTTATCTACATTGAGTCCAGACAAAAGGAGAAAAAGAAATGAAAGTGCGAGAGTAAAATAGAATTTATTATTAATATCATTATTATGATTATAAAAAGACAAACAAACAAAAAAAACAATCAAGGGGGACGCATCGCATGTGAACTCTGGGCATTTTGCTCTCTTTCCACCCTCTATGGAGACCAGAGGTACCACTGGTAGACCCAAGGGACTTACCTGAAGCACAGGCATTAACATGGGTTGAAAAAAAATAAAAATTAAAGCCATAGCTGCCCGGGCACCCGGCGACGGCAAAACCTTTCATTCCTCAACAGTCCACTTCAGACTTTTCTGCAGTCAACACCACTTGACTCACCTCGCAGGGAGATCATACTCTATGTAGATGTGGCTCTACTTTAATGATGCTTTAATGTTGCTTACTTTTATTTTCTTAAGTTTATCCTTAGTTAATTGAAAGGTATCACAGATTCAAAACTACCACTCTCAGCTCGAATGGCTCAACTAACCAACTAATATCCCCTGGCCTCTCAGAAAAACCGGGGTAAAAATGATGTGACCGAGCCATACATGCTATCACTCACTGTAGGTTAAATTTATCGTGCACAAGATTGACACCAAGGTGACCGGTAACACACATATTAGCCAGAATGTATCTAGCCCCCAAGCGTTTAATCTACACATTACTTCTTAAAACCCTCAATCTACGGTGCAATGTTTAGCTTGTAATACTATGCCTGATATCCATGTGTAACCTTGCTTTCAAATGTTGTATTGTATGATGTGTCATGACAGTGGTTTGAAAACAAATATAAAGAATAAAAAAAAAATATGAATAAAACTTAAAAATAAAAAATTATTATTGGTCTTGTTTTTTTTTAAGAGGATTGGCTACTTAAAAATGTACAGTATATTGCTAATATATTATCTAGAGATTGTGCATTAAATTTTTTGCCAGAAATATTTCAAAATTGAAATAAAAAAAAATTAAAAAATATTACCTTTTAAAATGTCACTTGGTGTTTCAAATTTCACTGGTATTCAATCGTCTCTCCTGGAAGAAGAGAGCCTTCTTTATTCCGTGTTTGGTGCTTACACCTCCCACACAATATGACACTGGCAGCATGGAATTAAGTAAATGTTCAGTACTGCCTGATTGACAGCCATAGTAGGCTGTATCATAGTGGTGTTAATTACAAGTCATTACTACTATAACTCATTCTCAGATGTGAGAGTGGCTCACGCAGGGCCGGACTGGGAAAAAAGAATTGGGGCCGGGCATTTTTCAATCAGAACAGCCCCCTAAGAAGAAGGGGGCGGGGCTTGAGAGGGTGTGTTTTGTCATCACTAATGACAAGCACGCCCCCTCTCAAAGTGAGCATGTTGGTTCAATGCAGAGCCCCGCTGAAGAGCTCTGGCATTAGAAAAAGGCCCTGAGTTTGTTCTGCGCAGCGCAAGCAAATTTAATAACATGCTTGCGCTGTGTTTGCTTTTAAATTGTCTCTGATGTCTCCACAAGTGGGATACCAGAGGACAAAAGGGCCAGGAAAGTGTATTGTGCATGTGTTTGGAGCCTGCTTGTGGGATTGCGTGTGTGTAGAGTGTGGTGTGGTATTGTGTAAATAGCTCAATTTAATTTGTGTTTGTGGTGTAATATGTGTGGCTAGGGGCTGTAGAGAGAGTGTGTGTAGGGGGCATAGTGTTATAGGGTGTAACGGACTGTTTTGCACACAAGAGGTTAAAAACCGTTTAGGCGATATTCCCCTTTTCAGATGCACAGACAGCTACTGCAATCACCAATCTCCCGAACTGCAAACACATGAATTCACCAATCTCCCGAACTGCAAACACATGAATTCACCAATCTCCCGAACTGGAACCAGGGGAATGCTCCAAACTCCCGAACCGGAAACACACGAATGCTGTAAACAGCTGAATAGGAAAAACCATACGAACAGTTTACACTCCTGGCAGTCGCACTGTAACAGCATACAATCCAATTCCCCCCAAGAACGAGACGTCACTTCGTTTGAGGGTCAAGCAGAACTGATTTACTGGGGCTACCTGCCCGGCTTTTAATGCAGGTCTTCCACCTGGTGGACACTGCCCTAGGGGACCAGATGGAAGACTGGGAAACATGTTGGACATTGACCAATCACAAGCTTACAATCCCACAATGCATCACAATCCCTCCTCTCTGTCCTGGAAATAATTGGGAAGTAATCCAATTATCTCCAAGGACAGAGGCAAAACTCCATTAACCACATGGCAGACAAAGGACAATAAAAGACATAAAAATACATACTGTTACATTTATCACATAGAACATACACATTCTACCTATCCCCAGATAGCTTAGATCTGAGCGCACATTATTACCGGATGGCGCTCAGATCAGATACATACAGTTCAATCGCCATGGAGCCAAAGTCTTTCATACAGTCTTTCAGTATACGGCTGGGCTCCATGGCATAGCTATCTGGGGTAGCATGGCTTTAACAGTCCGCAGAAAGGTTGGTTCATGTTAAACATAGTCCAGTGGCAGGAGGCGGGCGACCAAGCTCCTCCAGTGGCCAGTGGCGAGGTTGGTTCCGCCACCTAGGGGATGTAGCAAGTGTGTGCATACAGG